AAGACAGCATCTAAAAGTAAGTAGAAATTTTTAGAAGTTTAAGTCCAGTCTATCTTCACAAAAATCATTTTAAGTCCTAAAGTACTTTTAGTTTTTATTTTTTAACACCAAATGTGAACTGAGTTGGCTTCATTGTTTCAGTGCAATTACATACGCACATTTTTTAATTCTCTCTTGAAAAAACACTTAATTATTCTTGAAAGTGGCATGGGAGAGGTCACTGAATCGATAATATTTAAGTACTGTGTTTTTAACTCTTCAGTTTCAGACACCTGTAAGCTATTAGACAAAGATTTCTCCTATGATCTAGTGAGAAGGATTTTAAGTAAAGATTGCAAGGGGCAGTTGACAAAGATACACAGAAAAAGAAGAAGGCAAGCTGGACATCAAACTAAAAATGAGGAGGAACATTTTATGAAGATGGCAAGGGGAGAGAAGAGAGTGAATAAAACTAGTCTTAGATGGTTGTATGTGTATAACACTCCAGTAAGGATAAGAGTAAAAGACTCCATCATTGTATTAATGTGTCAGCATAATTAAAAAAAATATATAATCTGAATGCAAATCATACAATACAAAGATTATTCAAGAATGGGAAAAGATGAAGTCTTTAGTCTATCTACCAAAGATTTGTATGCTTGCTCAGAAGCCCAAAATATAGACAAACCACAAGTACTGAAAAAGCCCGTGAATTTATTTTTAAAACAAGGCATTCAGTTTTCCTCCCCCACACTAACAAAAGTACCTGGAGGACCCAAGTACAGGCTTGAAAAGTCTAAAGGGAAATGAAGTTTGTATCTTTGAATCAGGGACATGGCTTAAAATCGCTTCAGTGTGAGAGAGAAATGAAACTATAGCTAACTTGGGTAAACCATGAATTCTTTACTGCTAAAAAAAAGATGAGGCTGAAGAAAAGGAAGTTTAGGAAAAATAAAATACGTGTTTACAACAAAATCATGTGAAACTGGAAGAAAAAAACGAAAAGCCATTTATAAATATAGCAGTAACAAAACCGAGCAACAACAAAAGAATACACGTAAGAAAACTCATGATACAATTTCCAGCAAGCAAAACCTCAATTCATTAACTGATTCCAAGAAGTCTTAAGAATTTATTATCAGATTTGCATCAATCTTTTGCAAAAGGGTCAGATGTTAAGCAGCTGCTAGCACAATTAATACCAACTCATAAAGGCAAGACTTCAACCTAGATAGGTAAAGCTCACACTAGGGAAAGCTTGGCAAGTGGGGAAAAATAAATCCCTAATTAGCAGGGCTAGATGAACATAATTCTGAAGCTGATCTGATTAAAGCGGTCATTTCTGAGAATCACAGAAAAGACTGTAGAAAGAGCAGATGGTGAGGAGTTTTTTACCCTCCCCTCTCCTCCACCCCCTCTATTTTTAATGGAGCTAGTCAGCTCACCTTCATTGTTCCTTCAAGTATTTGAAAAACAAGCAGAAAAAAAAACCAACTAGGATCACATGCAAGCACCTCAAAGACATCAAGTATTGACAAGACTTGACAAATTAACCTAATTTCTTTTTATGACAGGGTAACAAGCCATCTGGCAATGGAAGAAGGTAGCAGATGTATTTTGATCATGACAAGGCTCTCACAGATGATGAAAGTAAAGATCTCAGCTGGAGATTTTTGAGCAATGCTTTGCTTCCATCCCAAACTGTGAATGCAGGAGAGTGCCCAGTGAGGGATCCAATTTTCAGAAAGATATTCAGGAGGAAAGACAGAAGGAATTGCAGGGTTTATCCTACTAAAGAAAAGGCTGAGATGGAATGTGGTACACCTGTTTGTAAACATGGAAGATCTGATGTGCTTTTAAAACTGGGAGAACACTTAAGATGAGCAAACATCTTAGTGCTGCTTCCTACCACAGCAATAGCTGTTGGATGAAGGCTGACTGATTTATGGAAATAATCCATCCTAAGAAGTCCTGAACCAAATTCCCAGGCATACTTTTATAAACAGAGGGAAACAGGCTTTAGAGAAATGGGTAAATAACACGATCTAGGATAAAAAGAAAACAACAAACAAACAGATTTGAGCCAAGTGTGCTAAATCGCCTACATCTGCTAGAGCAGTGGGCAAGGAGAGAAACCATTTTGCTGTCCTGTGCTGTGGAAACTACATTAGTACCAACATCCTGAACAGCATCAAAAGATGTCCTGGAAACATCTTTTGGCATCACTCACAGTATGAAATAAAGGTACAATTATGTTACAACTGCAAAAGGAAGAGGGTGATACATAACCAGCCTCTACACAATAAAAAAATGTGTCCTATATACACTTGTCACCTGGTACACCATGGAGAACCAATACCTTCCAGTTTTGATCGTCTGATTTGCCTTTAAAGAGAAAGAAAAGCCAATCACATTTCATTACAAGACTCAGATATTAATATTAGTCTGGTTATATAAAACAGAAGCAGTTGCTTAAACACAGAAAAGCAACTTTGATTTAAAAAAAAAAAATCTTAAAAAAACCCCTAACTTCCACTGAGTCTTAAGTGGCTAAGGTACAATCAAAAAATTTGCTCTCTGTTCAGTTAGAAGCAGACAACTTCAAGCTATTATAAGAAAAGCAGCTCCAGATGTGGAAAACAGATTTCCCTGTAACAATACCGTTTTCTTGCCCACAAACATCTGTCTACTTTACCCACAAGGATACTTGCTAGAGCGTCTCTGTTCCAGTCCCAAGAGCCAGCCATCAAGTAGATGAATCACGTATAATAAGGAATGGTGATGAAAATTTCCACTACTGAGAGTGTAGCCAGCAAAAGGAATGATTACAGGGATTCTACTATGATAAAAGTAGGTATTTGGATAAGAACTAGAGTGGCTGATAAAACATTCATGTTTTGCCTCAAACATTCTAGACAGCATGTACACACGCAGAAGATGCATACTCATTTCTCTAAGTGAATCAAGAAGGCACCTGAACAGTGGATCCCCTTTGGGTGAATACCCTACCCTCGGAAATAGCCTGCAAGTGATAATCCAGCACTATCAAAAGCCTAGAATGCAAAATAGCTTAAAATCTCTTGACAATATATGTGACTTATCTAGACTACTGACAGATATGCCTCACTTTAGATCCAGCTGCTTCTTAGCACAACTGCCTCTCCATTAGGAATGGGAAAGAATCGTTCAAGCCCCACAACTGCAGACAGCATTTATCCGGCAGAATAAGTGTCATTTTAACAGAAGCAACAAACACTGCTTTCAATCTGGAAGATAGCACAGAGTAAAAAAAGCTTCTGCCTACTCCTATCTGACATAAAAATTTTGCAAAACAGTGAAAGAAATGAATAGTCATTTCTGTTTCCTCAATGGTCCCAAGCATCCAGTTCTGACTCTGCTTTACAAGACAGACAATATAGGCTTACCACAGCAAATCCAGTATAAGGCCATGAAGATATTTGAGACTTGATCACTTCTTCCATGAGGAAAGGCTTAGAGAGCTCCATCTGTCCAGCCTGGAGGAGGCTCCATCGTGACCATGAGAAAACATTTCTACAGTGAAGGCAATCAAACACTGGCACACAAAGCCCAGAGAGATTGTGAAGTCTCCATCTGTAGAAGTATTCAGAACTCGACTGGACACAGTCCTGCACGAAATGCTGATCCTGCTTGGAACAGTGGAAGGTGTTACATTATCTCTAGAGGTCTCTTCCAACCTAAACAATTCTGTGAGTATGTGAAATAAAATAAATCCATCCTACTTGCGAAGCTCTGTGCATTTGTTCTCCGGCTTATTAGAACAAAACACTTGGTTAAGGCACTGTTCAGGCCCTGGAACAGGCAGTGGTCACGGCCCCAAGATGTCAGAGTTCAAGAAGCATTGGGACAACACTCTCAGACACATGGTTTGGATTTTGAGTAGTGGTGTGTAGAGCGAGGAATTGAGCTCAATGATCCTTCAGTGTCCACCAAACTCAGGATATCCTGAAATTGTATGGAAAAAAGCTATTCTATCAATTTACTGGATTTCTAACAATATTGAGATGGCTAACTCGAGTTTGATTAGCTCATTTTTACTTATGACAGAAAGACACCTGTTATATTCTTGCAAGGACTCAACAGCCTTAACTTTGAATATCTAATGCTGCAAAACCTTAAGTACCTTACACATACATCAAAAAAATGTACCAAAGAAAGTTTCATGCTGCATGCAGTGTAGTAACCTGGAAGATGGCTAATGAGTAATAGAACTTTTCCATTGTCATACATTTGTCCACATATCATTACAACATTGTCTACAATATAAACTGCCTGTGCAGCTTGGCTTATAAATACTCATATCCAGGCTCTATACTGAGACTCACTGGCTACATGACATGTACGTTACCTCATCAGCCTCACTGAAATCTTCACACAAGAATGTCTTTATAAGATTGGGCTCATAGCTTTGAATTTCACTGCACCACTGGAGACTTCATTATATTGTTGCTGTGCAAACTGATACTTCCTCACCTTCCTACCCAAACGTGGGCTAAAAAGCCCATGACGTAATGTGGAGAATGGAAAAGGGAAGCTCACAGAAGAAATTCACAGAAAATATTATAAGAAAAAGCTTTGCTCCATTTGTCTTAACAACAACAACACAAATAAATCCTTATCTGTATTTCTGATGCTCAATCAGGTGCAAACTTCATTTACAGAATCTAAATACTGCTCTAGCAACTCTATAATACACAGCTACCATTTATAATAGCCTCAAAATATATATGCTCAAAGAAAAGAAAGAAAAAGCTCACACTGTGTGTTTCTGCCAACATCAAATACAAGGAATAACAAGAACATTCACCTGCCGAGCTGGATAATTAATCTTAAATTAACAATTGCACACTGATGTTACGAGAATTGGCTGGCAGTAGTCTACAGTTCCTGGCTATTCCCTTGAAAACCCATTTGTAAAAGTTAAGATACCATTAATATATCTTTTGCAAGAAAATGCAGGTCACTTTGCAATACGGTAGCTACAAAACATTTATTTTTTAAATAAAAACATTTTAATCATCAGGTTTTGTAAAACAGCATGTCAAGTGTTTATCTTAATCTTTGTAGTGTGAGCACCTTCAGTTTTATGCTAAAACAATCAACATAATTTATTATTTGGTCAGACTATTAACCTACATTGAAATAAATATAACTTCAAACAAGACAGATTACTTAAAGCATACCAGATAGCTCTAACTTCATAAAAGCTTCTCTGGTGGCAAGTAGAACAGAGACTGCAAAACCACGATTGCAATATTTTTCTTTTTCTCTTTTTTAATTTCAGTGAAGACTGGCCTATGAAACTATGAAAAACAAGAATAAAGTTTTATAGAGTAAAGCTTCGAAAGAAAAGAAAAATAATTAAGATGGCTTACCTATACTCTCTCAGATTGAGAGGTGGAATACATACTTCTAAATTAATTATAATACACTGGGCTGGTCATAATATGACTTGTTCTCAAGCAAAATTATCCACTGAACAGAAAGAGAAGTCTTTGTTTAACAATGAGATAAGCCACTGATAAGCGAAAACAATATAGCCCACAAAGAGCATTTTAAGCTGACTCTGATTACAAAATGAAGGGTGCAAAATTCCACAAGTGATATAAACCTTTAAAGTACAGAAGTTTATAAGTCAAAATTAGTTGAGCACCTGAGATTTTCCTTTAGAAAGCAAAACAGAGACACTTTCTTTAGAAACATACAATACAATCAACTCCTTTGCTCTCAGTGTTGCATCAGAGTAATTGATTGGAGTTGAAATACACATAATGTTCTAGGTTTCTAATTATGCCCTGAAGATAAATGGACTAGCAAAATAGATTCAAGATTTGATCCATGTGCATCACACAACAGTTTTACAAACACTTTTTTTTTTTATCAAAACTGGAATAAATTTCATCTACTGAAGTGTACTGATGAAACTGAATTTAAAGAAAAGTCAAAGAACAGCACGTAACTTGAATAATGTTGACAAGGAAATAAGATTACTGAAATAAGAGTGTTTGAACAAAATGTAATAATCTGCTATGCAGCCATGTAGTTTTACAGACAACTAATCTATTCGTCTTCACTTTCGATTAAAATACTATTTAAAGGAAATCCTTTTTACTTTCACTTTGGTAGTGATATTTATCTGTGTTCCACTCTATGTGATTTGAATTTCATGATTTTGTATGTCTAGTTACCTACCATTCTCAAAGTAACCAACCTACTGCATACCAGTCTTAAAATAGAAACTTTCCTTTTTTAATCTCCTGGCTTTGAAGCTTTTAAGTAAACGTGTATTCTATTTAACACTTGAATGCTTGGACCCCAGAACAAACAACAAAAGCCTCAGCAAAGTACTGCTCTGAGGAGTACATGGAAATGTTGCTCTAATGTGACCTAATTTTATTTATGAAGGCTATTTGTCAAAAGATATGCAAGTTAAGATTTCAAATACTCGAATACAAAGGATGTTCCTTTAATTCTAGAAATGCTTTCATCAAATAAAAGAGACTGTACACTTGGTTTTACTTATTCACTTAGTGAAATTGTAAACAAACTGTTAAGGCTTTTTATTTTTATTTTTTTTAATCAAGGTTAAGCCTCCCACCACAATTAACTATTTGGAATTTTATGAAACTTTTGTATCTCTGAAAAGCAGTCAAGCACATCTCTTTGCCTTTTAATTTCTAAGTGGGCTACCAGTAGTAACTTCAGGAAGAAAAGCTTCAGTAATTATACAGTGAAAATGTATATGCTTAGTTTTTACTGCTCTAAAATTTGCGTGCAGTAAAATGCACTGTTGAATCGCCTAAACCCCCAAAACAGTCATTCTTAATCCCACCAATGTTTTCCTCAATAAAAAAGTGCAGCAGAGTTTTTAAAAAATAAAGAGGGGCTAGAGGGCATAATCCTCTCCATCATAAAAAAAAAAAAAAAAAAAAAAATCCCAAGCCAAGAATATTCTTTTCAGTGCAAACACTGCAGTCTTCAAAAAGTTAAGAGTACAAATATTTACATTCCAGTGTATCCTTACCTACAAGGAATGTTGTTTCACATTAGAAAACATGTCAAATACCTCTAATCCAATCAAAATATTAAAGTTTACTCTCTCAAATCAATATAGTGGCTGAAACCCAAGTGTTTACATAAGCAGTAAAACTTTCTGAAGAAACTAATGCACACAGTTGAAAGTTCTCTCAAACACCAAGGGCAAAGACTGCAAATGCAGCTGCTGGTCCTTAACCAACTTCAGTATAACATGCCGAAATGTAACCAGCCATTAAAGGGGAGTGAACAGTTTTCTATACTGGTATCTTAAGCCCTTGACCCCTTTCACAATTCTACAAGGCATATAGAAGCTAGCTGCAGATAACTCCTTCTTATGCTAAATTCTTGACTTTACACAACGTTACCATATGTCCTTCAGTTTTTCAATGTGCAAAGTTAAATTTCCAGAAAAATAATTCAAATTTATAGAAAATGTATGTAACACTGCAGAAAGAGATGGGTATGTTATTTTAATCATTCAAAATATGCTCAGCAACTTTGTTAAGAAGTATTGTGCTTCTAGAGGTACTAGCTGGGATTCCATTTAAAAAAGGCCCCTATCACACTTCCTTAATTAGCTGCCCGCTTTAATAATTTTGGTACTATCTGTTACAGTACATCAAAAAAAAACAGCAGCATAAAGCATTAGGTGGACAAGAATTTTATATTTGTTCTCCTTTAATAAGAAAATATTTAAAATGAAAGGCACTCAAGACAAAAACTCTCTCTCCAGTTCATATATAGACGGCCGGCATGTTTTGCTCTTCATTCGACATAAAGGCACAGTGCAGTCTCTATTTTGACCTTCCACATCAATATCAAGTAATGAGGGCATGTGGCAGTTAGTTCTTTCCTTAGTGTCTGGCAAGAGGTGAACATCTGGATCTGTACTGCCCTCTGAACATTTGGAGTCTTTAGAGCTTGGTTTTATAATATGCGGAAGAATCTGCCATGAATCAATTTTACTTCTAACAGAAGAAGGTCGAGGCCTTGATATAATATTCATAGCTCTTTGTTTTTCAGTTGAAATACCACAGTGGTTGCTTCTTCTTTGAAGAGATGGAGAATGTAGAGTTCCAGTAACTGAGAGAACGGGCAATTTGGAGACATCATCGGTTGGAGCAAATCCATTAGCTGACGGAATGAAAAGATCAGACAAACACAAAAATAAGAGAAGAATTTAAACCCTGTGGCTCCTTGATTTCTTTGCCATTTGCAAAACTGAGTTACCACAAGCATTAATGTTTCTTTTTCTTAATTAATTAATTAATTGAAGACATTCATATACATTTGTGGGGAATTTCCTAAAGGATCAGCAGTGCTCAATGAAATCTTCTGTGCTTTCTGTTAGAGACTATAACAGATTTCTATTTCATTATTAGAAACAAGAAAAAGCATTAATCATCCAGTTCTTGGACAAATATTAACAGTGGAATACAGCCATCAATATTTGTCAGGTTGTTATGAATAATTACATATGCACAGAGTACCATAAAGGATATTACATTTAAGCCACTATAGAACACCAGTATTACAGTTTAGAACTCCTATTCTTTTCAAGAATTCATTAACTATGAACAAATCCACTTACACCTTAACCAAATTTAAAGCCATTTTTAGCTTAATTTTTTTAATCAACAGCTCAAAAATTAGTGGAGTATGTGACAACTCCTAGGTCAAACAAGCAAATCAAATTGTATCAGATTCTCTCTTCTTGAACTTAAAAATGTACAGTATTATAACGATGCTAATTTCCTCACATATGCAGGCTGTGAAATAAACATACATTTCTCTCAGTATTATGAATTTTGCACACAAAAAGCATGTTATTGCTGATTAAAAAGCTAAGGAAATCTGTTTTTGCAATACCCGAGGAAATAACTGTTCCACTTGAACCTTGGTAATATCTTCCCTGTAACTGGATATTATTCCAAGTGCAGATAGCTCAGGGTTTGGACACTTGAAGCTTAACTGCATACATTTATGAAAGCTGACCTAACACTTGAACATATAACAAACACCTAGTCATTAGTGAATGGTTAGTTTCTCTACATTTTCTGTTTCTGAAGTTAACAAATCCCCCCACATCTTAAATTCTCAATCACCTACCTGTGGTGTGAAAATTGTTCCCATCTGATAAGGTTCGTCTATGACCCAACACACTTAACTTTGTTGAGGAAGCATTTGGAACTTTTTGAGGTTCTTGTTGCAGACATAGATTAAAAGGCTGATTTTTTAATTGTGCAGAAACTGTATTAGGAACCATCTGTATTCTCTGTTCTCTTTTATTTTCGTAAGTTTCAGATAAAAAGTCATTAGAATTACATGGATCACAATCACCAAGCACACTGCTTAAAAATGCATCTTCACTGTCAGACTGAAGTAGGCATTTTGTGGAAATGGAGGGCATAGAGAGAAGATTCACAGTATTTGCTGCTGGATTTAAGGATGAAATACCTGTTTCCTCTTTTTTGGACTGCAGTCTTGTAGGGCTAGCACTCCTGCGAAATTTTGAAGCACGCTGAAATATTCCATCACGTTTCTTCTTCTCATCTTTAGGCAAGAGTTCATCTGGACCTTGTGATTTGTTCAGCTCTCTAATATCCAAGCCCAGAGCAACAGATGCAAGGAGGACTGCACATCCATAAAGAACTGAATCAGTCTTCTTCTTCTGCAGTGTTCTGCTCAGACTGTTTGTAGGTGTCATTTGAGGAGTACTATTTGTAGAACTGGCAGAGGTTCCTTCTTCAAAGCTCTCATGTTCTACTGTATTCTCTCCTTGATCATCCTTCCAAAGAGGTAGGTTAATATAGGCCTGACTTGGCAACTTAATTGACTTTGGTCTTCTACTGTCCAAACTTTCAGAGAGAAGTCTCTTATCAGTGCACACATCTGAAAAAAGTTACAACATACCTTAGAATTACAATTCAACTATTACACATGTCTGCATATGTACACCAGGATTTCCTCTTACTTGCAGTTATTAATCTTGACATTTGTATGCTCCCCTTAGATGTAGTCAGAAGATCAGAGACTCACATTTCGAGTTTCAGAAACACATTCTAAGCCTAAACATTTTCAGGTTTTCTATTTAGTCTTTAGAACATATGAAGTAACTATTTCATTACAAATGTCATACTTTGTGTAACTCAAAAGCAGAAGAAGCTTGCAAATGAATCTTAGCGCATAAGCTTCATTTTTAGAAAGGAAAAATAGATCTTCCAAATTTCAGCAGAATATTGCTTCTGCATGCTTTTGGTAGTGCTTTTTAGACCACATGAAAAATATTTCCATGTGTGCTTTACAGTTAAGTGATTTAATAAACACAAAGTGACAGAGAAGATCTGGAACAGATTCTTTGCAACACTTTTAATGAAGCTGTGTTCCAAAATCAAATGAATTGCTAGAATGTTTTCTAGTTAATTAGGTCTGAAGTAAGGAGCAAATGTGACTTTTCACACCTGATGACAAAAAAAATGGAATGTGCATATAGGTCCCATGATTTATTCTATTGTAAACTACTGAGCAGTATAGAATAAACACAGAAATATCTGAAATATGTAAACTTGTTTAGTGTCCTGGATGTAGGGGTTTAGTACATGCTAATAAACCTATAGAATTGCTCTCTGTTTAGTTTGTGAGGTTTTTTTGGTTTTGTCTGTTGTTTGCCTGTTTTTTTAATAGTCCTACCAGTATACATGATTCTTTTTTTTCCCTCAAAAAAAAAACCAACAAAACAACAACAACAAAAACAAAAAAACCCCACCAGCATCCAAGCAGTTTACTATTTTCTCTTCCAGTTGACATATATCTCTAGCTACCAGACTACAAGTTATACCACAGTTGTTTCTTTGTTTTTGCTTTGTTTTTCCTGATAGCAGTATTTTTTCCAGTTATCTGTCATACAGAAAGCACACACAAATGTGAAAATTATAATGAATACTGTGTAGCTAAAGCATATTGTAGGAATGGACATGAAATGCAATACCTTGTTTGCTGTATTTGAAGGTAATCTATTCCTTTTTTTTTTTTTTCCTGTAAATCCCAAAATGTCACCTAACCAACTTAAAGATTTGAAATCTACTTTTTTTTTTTTCCTTGAACATTTAAATAATAAATATTGCTAAAAAAAATCAGGAAACTAAGACCTGGAAAAATATGAAGACTTACAGGTTTTAACTACAGTTTTAAACTGAGTAAACTGAGTACACAGAGGCCACTAAAAATAGAAGTCATTAATGATTATTTAAATGTCTATTTTTTTTTTAATTTTTTATTTATTTATTTATTTTTTTAAACAGAAGAATCTAAACAGCAGTGACCACAGACCTAACATACAGGTCAGCCTGACAACTCAAAAACATGGAAAAAATCTGCATGTTACAGCAGACCTCATGCAACCTTTTAGTTTGTTAGCTGCTAGTAATAGAAAGATTACTTTACACTTAGTGTAACAACTTTTTTTTTTTTTTTTTTAATTTGAATTGTATCTGTAGCATTAGAACTCTTAATAACGTGCACAATATTTGAGGAACTGGAACAGACTTAATGCCATCATGTAGTAACTTCCACTTTTTCAAACACAGCTCTTACCTTGGTCCACAAACAGTGAAGCCAAAGGAACACCCTTCTGATTTTTCATTACAAGTGTTGACCAAGGGTTGCTGCCATCTGAAAGGGGTCTTATTCTGAAACAATGATAGGTACTTTGATATTTCAGATGATACTGTGCTTATATACACTTAAAAAGAAAGATGTTGCATTTTCCTTTCAAACTATAAACAGTATACAACTTGAAAACAGAAAACAACTTGAAAACAGAAAAGCTTTTCAAAGTTAAAAAAAATGCATATAAGAAATAGCATAGAGTCTTAAGACTATAAATTGATAACATAGCTTAGGATCAGGAATTTATACTAACAAGAAAGTTTCAGGATATGACAGCCTTAAAAAAAAAAGTCAAGAGAAATGGACCTTGACTATCTACTGAAGAACAAAAGTCAGTGAAAACCTGGACGACAGATGCATTCTCAAAGAATATCACAAAATCAAATATCACAAATTACAATCACAATCACAAACAGTGATTTTCAAAGAAACAAAAATAACAAAACCACTTTCAGTAAGACAGTCTGGATCCAACTAGCTTACCAGCCAGGCAAATGAATGGATGTCTTCATACACACATAAAAGTGAAAGAGGACGCACTGAAGTTATTATATGAAGAAAAGGAAGAGGATCTTTTTCCATCAGTAAATAGCTAACCTCCAATTTTCAGCAATCAGAAAAAAAAATCTGAAAGTAAATGTGCTCAACTGACTCTCAGAACCCTCTTAACTTGTGCTGGTTAATGTGAAAGGTGTTGCTGGTGTGTAGTGTGCTTCATGTATGCAGTCAGTCTTATGTAACTGCACTGGAAGAGACTGCTGGGGCTATGCTTGCAGTTCCTCAAGACAGTCTGAGGAAAGGCAAGAAAGGGAGGCAATGAATACTACAGTGATTTAGTTACCACGGTGCTTAGTATTATCAAACAAAATGCAGTAGACATACTTGTCCTTACAATCTGCACGATCCTTTGTTTGAATTGAACTTGGTCCCCATGTACAACCTCTCTTTTTAAAATTTTTCTTCACTTCTTCAAACTCTTCTTGGTGGTAAGTTGTGCTCCTTCCCCAAGTTTTGTTGCTTTCATCTGAAGTTACTGGAGATTGGATTTAAAAACACAAGAAACCTTCACGTAAGTATATACACTATAAATTTATATATTTGTACACATTGACAGAACAGCCTTTCTCTACCACAAAGCCATTCTGATACAGTAACAGAAAGAGTAGTAAACAAAATTTGAGACTTTCTCTTCCACAAAAAACACCACACAAATCGCACTGAACCAACAAGATGAGCAAGCAAGAAAAATAATTTATGAGCTGACAGTAGACCCAAATTAAAGGCAAAATAACAAAATTATCTGCTGCCTTTAACTGAGAACCTTATATAACTTAGGTAATTTAGACAAGTGAATTAGACTGAGCACTTAAATTCCAATGAAGAAAATATACGCTGTGGAACAATTGGTATCAACTGAAACAATATTCCAATTGTGAGAATGATTAATGTTTTCTTTCTCATTAAAAGTATGATTTGTTTGGCTGTAAAGCATCAGTTCTTCATTAAATGCTTAGTCCGTCACTTCAGGTCAGCTGTGAAATTAAACAGAACCAGCACCTTTGAAACATAATAAAATCTTGCCTTTTTTCATAACCCCACTGGGAAGTTCATATTCACTTGTGATATCTACATCTTGCTGGTACACATATACACTGTTTCTTCGGCCATTAGCTGTGTGTGTATCTGTACTGGGAATCACTGAAGAAAAATTAAGAGATCTTAGTCAAGCTGGTTTCAGAAAGGAATCTTTTTCCCTTCTTCTGGTCATAAAGCCCAAATCAAAAAAGGCTCTAAGCATCTTAGAGGGTTTTTACTGTAGGATTTACAGGTTCCTCTTTCTAAGATCAGTCCCAGACTTCCGTATGTACTAACTGGAGAAGTAATTTGACAGCAACCAATCATGCTTACAGCTATGATGGAGATGAGAAAAAAACAACTTAGCTTGTTATAACAGCATGATTAATGAGGTAGTTTTTTTCTTGCCAGCTGTTCAGTCACTCCTGAACCATTGCACTCTTGTCCTTCCTCACCATACACAGCTGCTTGTGTAGTACAACAAAAACTACCTGCCTTCTTTAAACTCCCTTATTTCAAACATAGTTTCAGGACTACTGAACGTGTATTTTTTTTTTCCTCCTTAAAACAACTTTTAAAAGTAGCTGAACTTGATTTTAACCACAAGATTTACAATTAACTAAATTTTTATTTTAAAATACAAAGCATTTACACTATGAAGCTAGAATTGTTGATGACAAAGCAAAGCAATCAAGCAACCAATTGTTAGAAATGCCTGCTCAAATCACCTCTGTTCAAATAAGTCTTCTTGAAACAAAGATACTTAGAAGTGAAATCAAGTTAAAACATTATTGTGGGAAAGAATTTATTTTGCACAGGTGCAGATGGGTGTGGAAGCTAAATTGTTTCACCTAGATACTCCTGATAGATGTGATATGCTCAGGGATCTAAAATCAAAACCAGAAGAGTGCTTCTTTTAAAGGAGAGCCTTTATGTCATCCTTTATGCTTTAATCCTACGAAAACAAACACCCGCTCAAAGAGAACAAAAAGTCTCCAGCAGTGCTGAGCACTTACGCAAAGACTGAGACTAACACTGCTATAATTTACACAGACTAGGAATTAAAAAAAAAAAAAAAAAAAGGCAAAAACAACAAAACCCACTACCAACAAAAAAATCCCCAAAATAATAAACCTCAAGTTTTCAGAATTGTGCCAATACCAGGAATTTACTGCACTTCCAAGCACTTCTATACAGAACCAGGAAAATGAAAAGAAAACAAGACAGTCTTGTCTATATGTAGACATGATATTTCACACGGGAAAATCTCTCTGTACTTCCTGCAGTAAGAAAGATTTAAGAACTACACAAGAAAAAAAGCCCACCCAGCTTCCCTCATAGAATTTACCTTCAATCTCAAATTTTCTTTAGGAAAAGAACACAATATATGGGTAGTAACAGTATTTACCCAGTGAACTGTGTGAGTTCTGACAACAATTCTGGTATTTACTCAACTGGAAAAGGCAGCACTTCACCTTCAGGGAATAATTAATAAAAAAGGTCTTCATAAAGCAGAGATATTTCCAAAGAAGAAGAGATTTGGTTTCTATCCAAGTTTTGGAGTTTCAAGTAGATTCAAAAAATGAAATAGAAACCTAGCTCCAAACTACATACAGGAAAAAAACAAAACCAGTATGCATGTTGATTTCTCCTTCTCCATATGCTGATATAGATTCTGATATAGATTCTGAAGTACTTTCCTTCAGAAGAAACTCCTTTGGCAACAACATTTAGTCCCTATCCATAAACAACCAGTTGGAACGTGTTCTACTGATCTTAAATAGAAACTCGAGGCTTTTCCATCTCGTGTAACATTTCACTTTAAATAAGGGCAACCAGACAATCTACTCTGCACAACAGTTTAAGCAGTATAAAAGCAGGTAGTGAATCACATAAGAATTTACCCCACCTACATACAGTCATCTCAAATATTAAGGTGGGCTTTACTATAAAAACACGACAGGTTTCCTTCCACATTCATAACTGCTACCTCCACTATACTACCATAAACACATCTTCCTTCTGTCACCACTATACAGAGAATAATTAGATTGTCAAGCCCAAGAACCATTATTTTTATTTTTGTTTCTTTTCCTTGTTCAAAAAAAAAAAAAAAAGAATGTAAGATTTCATCTTTATTTTCTTCTGCTTTTATATTTGCTTACAGTTCACTTTTCTTTTTTCTGAGCAAGCAGAGTTGCTAGTTGATTAATCAGCTTCCCCAGCTTATGAGATTGGTTTATTCTCTGAATATTTTTATTTATTTTTAAACAACTACTGATTTCATTTAGCAACTGTAGTAAACGTAATAAAAATTTGTTTTCCATTCTGAATAGCATTCGAAGCATGTTTTGCATTTTGCCATTATAATTTTTGATTGTTCAGTGTTTAATCTGTGTCTACATGCAAATGAATTTCTGAAGTTATTAACAAAATATATGATTCAAAACATCCACAGCCATTCTGAGTTGCTGAAAATTAGTTAGCATTTTAGCAAGATTTTCCTTCCCATCAAACAACAACTTGCAAAAGTTAGAATAAGTAAAGGAACCTGGTGAACAGAAATCTATCTGAAATTGATACTACTACCAATGTGTTTCAGTGAGAATATTAAAAAAAACATTCTGTAATGACTAGATGAACAATCAGAAATGTTTGAGACTTACACTGTATGGCTCGAAGACGAGGAATTATTGTGGGGCTACTTGATGGACTAGAACTGTTACTGTTTAAACTCCTCCTTTTATCCAGATTAGGAGATGCCTGCACTGTTATTTTGTGCTGGAAATCTATTAGAAATAATTAAAAAAAAATGTTCTAAATGAAGAACGTTCAGTAGATTGTACTGTTGTACTACTAAATTAAATTACATAATGAGTTACATTTGATAACACAAGAGATGTTCATACTAAATATACTGACAAATTCTGATCCTTAATGCAACAAATTAGATCTCTTTTTCAAACAGGTATTGTTTCACACTCTCACAGACTCTGTACAATAGGTTTGCAGTAACGCCAACAAAAGGAGCTACATCCAGTTGGATTCAAAAGTGAGACATATCCAGATCACAAGCTGTTATTCAAAAGTTTTTGTTGTCACAAGAGCTAAACAAATATATTGCATTAAAGAGGTCATATCCATCAAATTTGCTGGAAATTCAAGGCACAACAAAATATAGAATTACCAATATTTCCATCAAAAAAAATATTGGAAAGGAAAAATATGTAATGAAATTAAGTTTGATCATACACCCTTATTTAATCCCTATCAACAGTGCAATTAGATTGAATGTTTTTCTTACAACAGAACTGTCTCGAGGACAAGTTCATCTTGATGATTCTTGACAACAAAGAGCTTAGCAGTATTCCAGATAAAACTTTTTCAAATAAGGTATGGGCAGAATCAGAAAAAAGGAAACAAATATTAAGTTTAAGCTTGCTGTTATTATAATTTTTAAAGTAAGTGAAACAGGACAGCGCTTTCAGTGATAGTGAAATATGCCTAGATATTCACGCATTCTTTGTCTCTTCCCAGCTACCAGACAGCTACAGTTTGATCCACACTGAGTTAATGTAGCATTAGGTACATGGGGCGTTAGTAATAAATTAACAGACTCAGAAACTACTGGAAGGATCAAAGGATCCAGCCGACACCAGGGTACTACTAACAATGGTGAAGGCTTGCAAATCATGGGTATAATCTTGAGTTTGCCTAGTGACATCTAGTGGCAATATTAATAAGGCAACACAATCAGTCTGACAACGGATCAGCCTTAAATCTTTAAAGTTCTCATGCTTTCCCTCCAGAAACAGTGGATTTGATTGAATCAGGTGAAAGACTGCTCAAAGATGGGGACTACTTCAAAAAATACGGCATGCAAAAGTGGTTCTAACTATATCCTTTGCACTTATTTGGGGTAAAAGAAACTAGAAATGAATGAAAATATCAGCCAATACTGAAAATTTTAACCATTGAAGCCTTGCATACTTAATCATAATATATGTTGTGAACTTAAAAGAAAACTGCAAACCTGAAGGCAAACTAATTCGGTGTCCATCTTTAAGTTTTAGCCGGCTTCTTTTAAATTTGCCCTTTCTCTTCTTTACATTAGGTTTCTCTTGATTTAACTGGAATATCATGATGTTCAGTTCACGCTCCAATACATCAATCTCACGTTCTGCTAACTGTTGCTCACGCCGTTTAAGCAGTTCTTCTTGAGATTTTTGCTGAAGAGCTGCTCTTGTCAGCTCTTCTTCTCGTGATCGAAGCTCCTAAAAATAAAATTTGCACAAGTGAAACTGAGTAACAGTGTAAAAGCTGTATTAAAGGATATTGCAAGTATTCAGTAAGTTGTATTTCCTTATTTGATTTCACAATGCACTATATATATTTAACACGCACATACGACCTGACAGTTGACCATTCTGCATAAGTGAAGATTCTGTATCTGGATGCAAACAAGCATTATACAGATTTCCTTTGAAGCATTTAACTTGAGATACTTAAGCTAGGTAAGCACTGGAAATGGGGACAACATATCAAACCAAAGATTATCAGCTTACAGCCTGGCACAAAATGTGCTCTAAGTACTTCACATCAGAGACCCTCCCATCCCACGAGGGCTTCTCTTAGATAACTTCCATACACTAAATAAAAAAGAATGACCTGATGAAAACAAGTGAATGCATTCATCTTAATTTTCCTAACCTTTCCTGTTTTTCAACCATGTATTAGGCTTTTTCTATCTGAAAAAGCAATCAGTATTATAATGAATGAGAATTAGTGTAATAGGATAAACTAAGTCATAAGACAGAAGACAGCTGTTTCTTAATTAAAATCCAGCACATATCTGTGTAGCATCAAATAGCTAACCACTGAGTTGCACCACATGGACTCTCAAACTATCAAACCCATGCAATAGTTGTTCTTTTGCCTTTTAGAATTTTAAAAGTTGAGAAAAGGAGAAGCTATGATGCGACTGATACTATGTTTCTCACTGGATAACTTTTTCATTTTAATGGATAATTGTGCAACATCTGTCCAAATTGAAATTCAGCTGAAAATAGAAATTCAGCAACAGAAAGTAAGCTATGCTAAGAGTTTAGATATTCAGGAATCCTTTTCCCCCTAATTAAAACTCATTAATTCCATCACCATACACTCTTCCTATAAAAGAAGAGGAGACTGCATATTTCTGGCCATCAGTATCCACCAGCATACTAGCACTATTCCTCATCTAACGTCCAGCATTTATTGAAAGACTATCAGCATAAACAAATATCTGCTCTTTCAACACCCATTTTCTTCCAAATAAGGTGGCCTTTGAACTATATCAATTTGATGCTCTCAAACAAGTGCAAAAAATAGCCATCTCTGTTCCTACCTAAAAGGCTATGGATTTCAGAAAGACAGGTTACCACTGAATCAAATCAAACTCTGGTTCAGTGAGAAGCAGCTGCTCCTCAGAGAGATACTTGTTTTTTCATTACAATTAGCATACACATACTGCTTATCACTGGTTTCAAATTTAATTTAATTGACTGACACATTTTAGACAGCTTGCTAATTTTGAGTGAGCCTGTTTCAACACAACTTTTTCAAAAAAGTTTTGTTTTTTTTTTTTTCCTTTTAAATCCATTCTTCTTAACATACACACCTTGGCAAAAGGTAATTATGCCTCTTGGGAATTCAAAGGGGCCTGTCTTCATTCCAGAAAGTAAAATTTTGGGTGTTTAATCAGTTTTAACACTTTTTAATTTAGAGGTTACTGACAATTTTTACTTTTCTCTTCCTTTTGTCCAATCAAAATTGAACAAACAAAAAAAAAAGAGTTGGAAGCAGAAGACAGATGAATTCAAATTTAGGATAAAGATAGGATGCCCCATCTCTGGAAGTTTTCAAGGCCAGGTTGGATGAGGCCGTGGGCAGCCTGGTCCAGGATTAAACAGGGAGGCTGGTGGCCCTGTCTGTGACACGGGGGTTGGAAATTCACAATCCTTGAGGTCCCTTCCAGCCTGGATCATTTGGTGTGATTCTGTGATAAAGGTACATCAGAGTTTAAAATAGAAAACATGTTTATTACTATGAAGGTTTGGGAGATACTCTTTACTATGCACCTCTCATCCTCAAGCCCAGGTCATAAAGCTCAGTAACAAGGAAAAAATTGAAAGTCTGTACTGAAAAGGCAAACAATCTCGAAAATGAAAGCGCTTCCTCATTGAGAGTTTTAGTATTTACTCTTTTCCAAATAAACTAATTAAAAGACAGACCTACTGCAATTAGTTATGCAATGTTTCTACACCATTCTCCAATTACAACACTCATTATAAGGAAGCTAGGAAAGAGTTCTATATTTAAGTTGCTCAAGAATGCTCATCACAAAAGATTGCAATCTTTTCTTGAAGTGGGTGTCACCATCACTCATTTACAGCAAGCCCTTGAGGAAATTCCTCCAGCTACAGAAGTTTCTTTTTCACAGGGAATGAGACTCCACACAGGGTTGTTGTTGTTGTTCTTTCTTCATTTTATTATAATCATTATATAAATGCTTCATAAACTTGTCTCTCTCCCTAGTATCTGTCAGTGAAATTGATAATGTGCTAAATTAAGCAAGCACAAACATTTGAATAATTTGTCTAAGTCAAAGTTACATGCTTTCATTCTACAACAAGTTTACCTAATTAGGGCAGATGCCTTTGGAGGTGCACTTAATTCGGCATATGAGAAGTAAATTTTATTAATCTTTTCCTCTCCCTAATTAGGCTTAATTCACTATTACATCAAAAATACAACTCTCCCCACAAAAATCTGTGCTAACTAACACTCAGCTTGATTTAGTCAGTAAGAGTTTCTTCAAGAGAAAATCTCATGCTGGACTAATGCCTCCAGAAAATAAAAACACACCTGAATGGGAATGCCTTTTCTTGTTCCAAGTGCTCCCAGAGTAAAAAGGAGAAAATGGTTGATTGAGCAGTTGCAGCAGAGGGAAAAAACAAAGGTAGGCCCTATGGAGGGTTCTGGCTGTGGCTGGTAGTTTCACAGCAAGTGAAAATGAGAGTCTCTTCTCTTTGTAGAGGGACCATAATTCAGCTGGAAAGGAAGAAATCTGACAGCTAGAGGAACACATAGCCCAGCTCCAACAATATGTAGGCAGGGAAGCGTATGGATAACATGGCTAACACATGCTCAATTCTATGATGTGAAACGGAAGAGGGCAAACAAGAGGGCAGAAACAAAGGCACGCTGGAAATAAGGAAGACAATTATTGATAATACTACAAACTTGGCAGCAATTGACAAATTTGAATAATCACATGCACTACAGCAGATCCATAACGTCACATCCACCATCACCTAATAGCCCACAAGTAGCCATATCTGGCATTTGGTAAAAAGAGGTGTGGGGCACAGCCAACATTTAAATGACTGATTTAAAAGCATTTCTCTACAAATCCCTGCGTCTCAATTCCCTTCTGTACCTATTACATATTTGCTTAAGGAAAAACAACAGTGTATACCAGGCAATTATATTACTGCAAGAGATCTGCAAGTAATCCATGTCAGCTAGAAGCATTTCTAACTGTGATTCAAAAGGACAAATAAACTACTAAAAGCAAAACATGAGGACAAATAGTTTCAGATGCTGCATCCCAGAGTTTTAAGGAGAAATAGCGAAAAGATTCTGGACTGGTGGCCCTGACATTTAACAATACTTAGGACAGAGGAAAAAACAACAAAAAACCCAACAGGACAGAGAATAGATAACTAGGATGGTAACCAACTACATACATCTGTCAGGTTGATAGAGTTCATATGCACTGTTCAATGAAAATTATAGAACAACATATTTAAGGCCAGCCAGCTTGCCTATAAGAAAAAAAGAACTTTTTTTTTTTTTTTAAAGTGGGAGGCAGGTCTAGCTGATTAAATACTATGTTTGTTAGTAAAATCCTCTTACACATCAGAGTAAATTCTCACACTTGGTACTGCCCTAGTTTCTAAATGAAATGGAAAAAGAATTGACTGGCCAGCTATTATAGCGCAAAAGTGTAATTAAATTAGAACGTTTATATTAAAATGGAGATATTAAGAGTGATCTCAAAAAATCTGTGATTTACTCATAGCTATTAACCATTTTGAATTTATGGAAATAAACACCACAAAAACTTGCAGTGGTTATAAAAATTAGGTAAATAAATTCTGGTTTGTTTGATAATGCATTTGATTTGATGCATTCAAATACTCAGGAAAAAAACAACACACTAAAAAGTCTATAAGCCTGATCTGCAAACCATTTTCTTTGGGGAAGCAGGTGGCATATGTTGCTTTTTCAACTGTATTACTGAATGAGCTAATCACACCATAACCCTCACTCACTACCATAATATTGCTTCCTAATAAATTTAACATTTTTATTCAACTAAGGTACCTCTAATTACAGTTTCAGCATTCTGAACTGTATTGATTTGGTTTCAGAAAAATGGTGAAAAGCAAGTTGTCTGCAATTCAAGAAAACCAATAATAAAACCTTTTGTTCTTAAGTAAGCTTGCTGCAAGTCGGTTAAAGCGCTGTCAAAAAGTACTGATGAGAAACATTAATGGAATTTAAGAATAGTACATTCACCAACAAAAGTAGGTAATTAAAAGTAACAACTTGTTTTAATGAGAATAAATCTTCTCCATGCAGTTTATCGTCTTGCTTGTGTCTCACTACCTAAATCAGGTTTCTAGCATTATTTTGAGAAGCCACAATGCAAATATCTAAATCTGCTGTATCACAACACATGTACCATTCCTTCACTGCCATGCAAACGGAAAATGAACTTACTTTTTCCTTGGTCCTCAATTCATTGAATATCTGCTGAATTTCCAATTTCCAGTCGTCTTGCATGGAATGGAAAGATTCTTGAGGCATTTCAGTCATTACTGCCCCCTCAATGGCAGTAAGCTGTTCAAGAATTATGGCAAATGATGGTCGGATATGAGGGTCCTGTTCCCAGCATTCTAGAATTTATTAGAATCCCATCAGTGCTTAATAGTACATACAACTTTTGAAGAATAAAATGAATTCCCAGTTACTTGCTATTGCACTTTAAGCTATAATGCACTATAACCTTCTTCTGCAAGGCTTCCCTAGTTCTGTTTCCCTAAGTGATACCTACGTAGCTGTATTCAAGACTGTTTTTAGTTAATAATCAGATTTTTTCACCTCAGTCTTTAGGATCTCAAATAGCTGAACTAGCAGTACTACATAGAAAAGGTATTTATCAAAAGGTAAAGGGCTTACACATGAGGAAATAGCCATTAGTGAGCAAGAATTTTTTCTCTCTAGAGAATGTCAAAAACATTTTTTACTTTCATGAAAAAACAATGAGAAAATGCTATTTTCAGTTCTCCCCTTTGGGAATTTATTATATTTATCTTGCACTGACCCATATTTTAGGAAAATTAATGTAATTTGAGTGTAAAAACAAATCATTAAAATTAGGAAAAAAGTATACTCTGTGACCACTGAAAAACTTAAGTGGTATACTTTAATGCTGCATGACTTGTGCAGAAGCATATAATAGTCTGTTACACCAGACTGCCTCGAAAAGAACAAAGTATTTTATATGCACTGCATTATCGAATACGGTGTTTATTTTGAATCCTATGACTATTACAGGCAAGGATACATACCCCAAACCCCTAATTATTCAAATAAATAGGTAGAAGAAAAAAACACATATACCTTTCATTAGTTTTGCAAATGGTTCAGGACAAGTGGATGGAATGGGCAAAGTAAGCTTATTGACAGCAACTCCGTAAGCCACAGCAAGGCCATCAATGCCACGGTAAGGAACTTCTCCTGTAAGTAGTTCCCACAGCAACACTCCATAACTACAAAAAGTAATTTTTAAATGGTTATTTTTCAGAATACCAACACCTTATTTAATCAAGAACAAACAAGTACGTGTTCAACCATGTACTGAAATTCTTGATGATTTCCCATGTCAAAGTGAATGCCTTAAAGAGTTGACTCCAGTCATCTTGCACCTTTCTCTAATAGCAACTAACCAAATTCAACGTGACTTAGTTGCAATCCTACCCTACTGTCACATGCTACCTGAAAAAATACAGACATCAAGGACTCAAAATATAACCTGGAGTCACTTCTCTATAAACACTAGTGTCACATAAATCTCAGTTAGGACAAGAAGTTTGAACAAGAGGAAAACAAGTGAACCTTTCACCACCAAAGTCAAACAAAAGAACAAAAAATAACCCACCACCTCAGCAGAACATTCAGGCCAGACACCTTTCCAAACATTTCAGTTTCCTAGATGTGCTGGTGAGGCCTCACCTCGAGTACTGTGTTCAGTTTTGGGCACCTCAATACAGAAAGGACGTTGAGGTGCTGGAGCAGGTCCAAAGAAGGGCAACAAGGCTTGTGAAGGGCTTGGAGAATACGAGGAGAAGCTGAAGGAACTAGGGCTGTTTAGTCTCCCCTCAGCCTCTTTTTCCCCAGATCTTACTGCTCTCTTCCAATATCTGAAAGGTGCTTACAGTGAGAGTGGGGTTGGTCTCTTCTCACTGGTGACAGGACAAGGGGAAATGCCCTTAAGTTGTGCCAGGGTAAATTTAGGTTGGATATCAGGAAAGACTTCTTTACAGAAAGGCTTGTTAATAACTGCTCCCCAGGGAAAACCGTTTAGATGTGGTGCTCAGGGACATGATTTAGCAGAGGGTTGTTAGAGTTAGGGTAGTATGGTTAGGTTGTGGTTGGACTTGATGATCTTAAAGGTCTTTTCCAACCTGAACAGTTCTATGATCCTACGGTATTACATGCCTTTTCTCTTTTCTTTTCCTAATTAAAACAGACTAAAACCCAGCACATCTAATCCCTTCTTTGTTATATAAAGGCCTGTTAATTTTTCCTCTTCCTACAAATCTAATAAGATTGAGAAAGAGTTACACACACAACTAATTTCCCTATACAGGGAAAGAAAAATAGCACTGTCTCCTGTGAAAAGTGCTGATGAGATCTTTTCTTACTGCCATGTATGGAAATCAACAATCATAGACATTCCTATTGCAGCAACAGTAACCATAAGAATTTCTGCTATGCTTTCCAGATGAAAAGCCAGGTGTTGTTTTTACTGTCCTTGGGATTGTATATCCAGTGTTTGCTTAAATGACCCAACCCCCAGCAAAACACTGGAACAGCATGTAGTTGCTTTTATTTTAGATCTCCTATTTCAATATGACAGAGAAAGTTGCAAGTCTCAGTGATTTTTGTGGAAAGAGGAATTTCTCTCTTTAGTATGTGAGCCTAAAGTAGACTTATCTAAGAAATGTACAAGGCACCGGTGAGGGAGATAAGGGCTAAGTACTCCTTAATATCCAACACTCCTTCCATGTACCCCAACTAGTACCACCAAGTACTAGAAGTACAACCCCAACTACAGCAGATGTGACGAGCAGAAGAATGTAACTGGTGATATTTTGCTATCACTGCCTTCTTCCTGGAAGTCATTCAGCATTGTGCAAGACCTCGTACCACTTGAGAATAAGTAAATAAAGAAACAAAACCAGTAAACTACACAGTTTCAGCACAAACAGAACATATTTCTTACATGTGTAGTAACTACATAGGAAGCAATTTGAATTAAATAGCAGCGCTCTGTTTATCTAAGTTCTGTTCATCTAGGAAATTTTAGCCGTCATAAAAATCTCAGGAAATTAATGAATTCACAGGGCTAACAATGAATTAAAAGCTAAGTAGTACTGTTTATTCCTAAAAAAAAAGCAATAAAAGTAAAAAATGTCTTAGGAATTTTTGATCATTTCCCACTTTTTTTTCAGTCTAATCTATAAATCCACTCATATGCTCAAACTCCAAAGACCAATTTCATTTTAAAACAGTTGTACTTCTGGCAATAATAAACACGATATTTTCTGGTTTTATATATGATGGAAAAAATCTATTAAAGATTGTTTCATTTGTGCATTTAGATAAAGCATTAAAAATAATTTTACACTCTCTCTAGCAAGTGAAGACTGGTTTCCATTCAAGGAATGCCCTGGTTCAGACTATTCTGTATCTATTTTAACATGAATTCTGAAGTTAATCAGAACCATAAGAAAAAGAAATCATCTTTCACAAAAGACTTGTATCACACCATTAATTTTTGTTGCATTTACAGTTTTAATCAGTAGTTTTCCGCTGTGCCAAAAAGGTGATCATAATACTTTAGCCTCTTTTAGGGAAGGTAGTCTTAACTTCAAGAACCAAGAGCCAGCATGGGCTAGAGTAGAATTCTACAGATGATTCTAGTCCTCCTGTTTTTGGGAGGTGCTAGTCAGTCCATCATTATCCAGGACAACCACTACTTGTTACTCAAAAATGGAAGTTGCTACTTTGTGCATTAAATTTCACCAGCACACATACAGTCATTCTATGCGTACAGTTGGAGGTACTAAGAAATAGCATTTGTAAAAGAGTAAGGAGTAAAACTGATCTCCTTTTACATCTTAGGGATAAAAAGAAAAAAAACACCAAAAAAACACCAAAAAATACAGGCACAATACACTCAAATTATATATTAAGGTCGCAAACTAATGCTTTCAGTAAGTTGTTCCTTAAACAGTTTGGCCACTAAAATTTATTCTCCTGCTGTCCAATGTGATCTAAGCCTTTCTTTCTGTATCTCATTCCAGCAATAACTTGCTGTTTCAATGCTTTTTATCAATGATCAAAATGGAAGTAATCAAAGTTCTCAAAGATTCTTTTACTTTACAACTCTTCTAAATCTTCTAAAGCAGAGATCACTATGCACTGCCACATGAATCCCTTTAAAAAGTGTATGAACATGCCAGGCAAAGGCAGCTATTCAGCAAGAGCTACCTGATTTTGTTGAGAACTTGCACTTTCAGGCTTCTTACCTAAGACTGACATACCAAGACTGAAATATGCAATAAATGATGGAAAGATAGGAGTGAAAAAGTGGAATTCCTCTTTGTTATTTTTGTAGATAGTTCCAGATTCCCCACAACAGTAGTTATAATTTGGGTTTGTGAAGCAGAATGATACAAGTTCAGGGCCTAGAAAGAACACACTCTGCTACCTAGGATGACACCTGAGAAAATGCTGCCTGCAAGACAGCATGAAAACCCTGCCATAACAAACTCCAGCACTGTCCGATTCTGGAATGCTGCTTGCAAATGCAATCATATTTGAGCAGCCTCAACTGCTCAGGATTTTGTTTATTTTTAATAAGTGGTCTAGAGACATCTTGTGGAAACTCAGTACTCAGTATGCATAACTTCAGTTTAAACCATTTCTTAAATATATTCTTGTCTTTGAGAGAACCATACTTACATTTGTAACCTGAATGTTTGTAAAATACAAAGCACTCCAACAACCGGAGTACTACTAGATTTGCAGTATTATTTGTTTGCCTTTTAAAGAAGGAGTAAAGATAAGCAACAGAACAGACTGAGGTGCAGTAAGCAGAAAATCTTTAGAAGCCAAGAAGGATTCATCTATACTGTAAAACAGAGCCTTTCTACTTAAAAACCTCTCCTGTTACAAGTCCATCATTGAACTAAATACTTACATTTTTAAAAGAGAGGCGTGCAGGAGAGAAGGCGAAGAAGAGAAATACTGTAGGTTCCAAAAATGTAAACTAATGTTGCAGCAGAATATAAAATAATTGCACCAAAGCATACCCCCTCAGATACCTAAAATCACAGCAACAAGACTGGACAGGACCTGTAATTAAGCATGGAATACAGCTGATTAGGGAAAACGCCTACACCCAAACTCCACCCCGCAAAAGGAAAAAAAAAGGAAGAAAGAATGGAAAAAAGAATGAAGCCAATGATGTTTCTGAACTGGTCATCAACTCAGACTGATGTAAACAACATGCTGAAAATCAGTTGCAGACAAATGGGTGTCACAAAACAGCAGTGCAGATACAGAATCATCCTGAGAACACCAAAAATGTTATTTCATGCTGTAGAATATCAAGCATTTACACAAAATGAGACCATATTTAAGAACTATACAACACAGAGCATGCATAAAAGGCATGAAAACAGATTGAAGTCCTCCCCTCCTTCCCCAAATAGCTTCCTTAATCATTCTCAGAGAAAACACTTTAAAAAGAAAGGAAATGGAGACTTTTCAGAGTGAGGCATTGCAGCTTTTAAAGGCTATAGTGCAATCACAACTATTCCCCTAAAATATCTTTTTTCAGTACATGTATCCCATACTACATCACTCAAAAACAGCATCAGTATTGAGAACCATATTATTTATCTGATCCATCAAAATGCCTTTAGTGAGAAATTCACAAACTTAACATAGTGAGGTATGCACTTTCCAAATTAGAAAATACCTTAAAATAATTTTATGAGAACGCTCTCTTCCCACTACAGTTACTAGAAGCAAAATCTCTATGAAGATTAAAAAACAGCTGTTTAATTTTACACATGATCACATTCTAGATTCCTAGAAAGCAGTACAAACTTCAGTTAACATCTGATGAAGTCCTGGTTTGCCGTGTTTTTTTTTTTATTATTAAAAAGGCATGCAAGGGGATGGATGGTCCCATTTCTTTATACAGAATGAGACTTTTCAGCCATCTGATTTGGAGTAAACATAACATTACTGATCAATTATATGGTAGTATATCAAGAGCTTATCAGTCTTCCTACTAATATTCAAGGTAAGTTACTTAACCAACAGATTTTTAAGGGTTTCTCTTAATGAGATCTTGCTTTCTTTCCTAAAATATGGTTTTCTGCTATTTTCCCTTTCTTTCTTTCAAATTTTTAAATCATGAATAACTAGAGGTAGATCAAAAGTAGAAGCTGAAAAATTAATGTTCTTCTTAGAACATCTATACCTGCCGTATACTGAGATAACTTAGGAATCCATCAGGAAAAAAAATCAAATAGAAATTCATTCAAAAACCTCAGCTTACTTCTGTGGAATATGGTCTTTATAGTAGATCAACTTCTTACCTCCAAATATCACTTCCTTTAGAAAACAGGGAGGATTTGATAACTTCTGGAGCCATCCATGCGTATGTCCCTGCTGCACTCATTTTGGTTGTTCTGTGCCATTCTCTAGCCAGACCAAAATCTGTAATCTTCAAAGTTTTATTGCAAATGTCATCATGTTCCATCTTCTCTAGCAGCAAAACTGCAAAAGATTGAGTTTGTAAATTAATTCAATGGGAATCAAAACAAAACTGCCATTCTTGTTATTAATTCCACACACAATTTTGATTTCTGCAAATAACTGTACGATCTAAACATTGTGAAAATACTATTAACTTTTTTTAAAAATAAAAATGAACAAGTTTACTGATAATTCCAAGTACTTCTAAGTAAAGAAAGGGAGAAATACCTCTGAAATGAGATTCTGAAGTAGTAAAAGTAACAGCAGAAATAGGAACTAAAACAAATGTTAAGAATTTTTATAAAAGACCTAGAAAACAAAACAGGAAACATCATCTCACTGTGTAAAATCTATCCCTCATACTGCACCCAATCTGGGTTCATCATCTCAAAATGCATATAATAAAACTGGAACGCACAGAGAAGGACACAAGCAGGGTGCTCCCAACAGCCTGTTCTCAGCCCAAAGAGCAGTTAATAGACTCAGGCTCTTCAGCAGGAAAAGAAGCAGGTTAGTGACAAACCTGATAGCTTGCACCAAACAAAGAAAGCTGTAGGTAGCGATTGTTTACAACTTCTGATCAGAAAAAAAAAAAAAAAAAAAACTACATCAGACAAAATTAGCTGGCAAGAATCAAAACCACATGGCAGTTGACCACACAACACAGAGGGAGGTGAACTTGGAAATTTTTGCCAGAGTATGTAATTGCTACCATTTTACATAGATTTGAAAAGAAATACATGAATTCTCAGAAGACATCTCCATGCATTTACGTACAAAACACAGGTAACAGGTTCAAGAAATCCCCAGGCCACAAATCACTAGAGGTGGGAAAGCAGACCAGGGAAGTCAGTTTGCCTCAGGAATATCCAACTTGCAGCAGGACGCTGGAGCTGGATGAAACCCACATGGTGTTATACACACTGTAACTTCACACCTGTTAAAAAGCAAATCACCTTCTTTTGCTGTTCCATCCTACAGTGTGTATTCACTGTCTGACTTGCGCTTAATACTGCTGGCAAACTTGTAGTACAGCTTCATAAAAGAGTGTTAAATGGAATGAATGGGCTTACTGTGTTCAAGCAGAGCAAAGACAAGAGGTGCAAAAGAATCATTATTAAGGCACTACAATCTTAATTCTATATTCAGTGCCTCTGTCACTGTCAGTGCTAGTAACTGTTACTGTTACTTTTCCATTGCAATGATCTCCTGGGACAAAGCTCAAAGGCTGAATTACTAATAAGAATCATTAATGCATGTGTTTTCCAAGCATGTGTAACATGCATTTCAAGACAAAGCACTGGGACAAAGTAGATGAAGAATGATCTTGCCTCACAGAAGAAAAACTGGTGAGCTTGCATTTGCAATCGCAAGAAATCATTTTTAGTGGTACAGCTTAATTACAAGTATTTCAAAAATGATGTCAACTCCAGATTAGAAAAGGCAGATCCCACATTCCATTCTCAGTAAGCACCTTAACACAGAGAAGAAACAAAGGCCAAAATGGTGTAGAGAAACTACAAGCTCCAAGTCAGCACCACCAGAACAAGTTAAATTCATGCAGGAGTTTTTATAACTGTTACACTTGAATGAAAGACCTATTGTTTGCCCTTCCATTTGGAACACGTTCAGCAGAATTCCTGACATTCCTTGTCAGTCAATGTGACCGAAACCAAAAACAGTCAGTCTTGCAAAAGGTAATAACAGGCAGGCGGCCAGGTTTCATCCTACAGAGGGACCACGCTCCTCTGCAATCCGCACTTCCGCTTCCGGCCGCGGTCTGGAGAGCGGCTGCAGCACACGCAGGAGAAGCAGTAATGCTGCTCAGCACAGGCAGACGGTGCCAGGCAGTGCCTCCCAGCCCCTGCTCTTCAGCTCCCTGCAGCTTCCTGTCTGAAAGCAGTCATTTCTGCAACATTCTGCTCACCCTGCTCACTCGGCCCTTGCTTGTTCCTCTCCCAAACCCATCGGGTTGGCTTTTCAGGCACTGATTCACCCCCAGTATCCAATATCTCAGTTTGCTGAGAGCCAGTTCAGCATTTCCTGGTTTATTTTAACATTTTTCAAACTTTACGCTCTCCACAAGGAGCAAAGTTCAGACTTACATAAGCAAAACTGACTCCTTCCGAATGATAGAAAATCTATTAGCAGGAGACTAAGTCTCTCATGATAAGAATGCTTTGCGTCAGTCCAGCCAACATAAAACCTTATCTTAGCCTGCTATTCAAACACTGCATGTCCTATGGTCAGGAATCAACGTCTGACTCCATATTTTGAGGCCACAAATGTTTCCCATTGTTTACACCATTTTCAACTCAATTCTGAAGTTCAAACAACTCAAAGCTTGGCTGGGATTTCCCTGTTCTCACCTCCCAGGGAGAAGGACAAAGTCAATTTATTAACATCAGAGCATCGAAGGTTTGGGTACCACACACTGTGTGCTGCCTGAATATAAGACACAGCATGTATCTGGAACTCTGTACAACTGGGAAACAGAGTTGTCACTGCATGCTATTTTCAATAATTTAATGAAATATAAATGAAGAAAAAGTATACATGTTATGTGGTGAAGTGATATTGGAACTGATAGCTATGATACTGTGCATGTCCAAAAAATTTAATAATTTTATCATAGTGCAGCAAGAATACAGGAGTATTCTAACAGCATCCCTAACAAATTTCTATTTAACCATATAGATTAAAAAGAACTTTTACTCTTTAAGTATGCAATGCTACTAAAGAGATACTGGAAATCCAAGTATTGCTTATATACATCGCTGAAAGAAGCAGCTGAGAGTTATGAAATAATTTAGTTTTTTTCTGATAGATAGTTCCCCAGAAAGGGCTAAGGTAGCAGACCTCATCAGATGCAAGAAGTTTTTAGGAAGTTTAATCATGCAGACAGAATAAGAATTAATCAAAGAAACCTATACAAGAGTCAATATTTCCATATAAAGGAAGATACTGAAAGACAAGGATAGAAACATCATTACCACGTTTATTAGGAAGCAGGCTTGCTCCACATGCCAATTAGCAATCTGTGGAAACATACAAGGTACATTTCAAGAGCCAACAGCAAAGCCTACCCTGAAAAAGACCAGATCATCATACTGGAAACACGTGCAAAGTTTGAAGGGATCAACAGCAAAACCTAGAGCTACAAAGCAGAGGTGAAAGAAGAGGAAAGGTAGGGCTGTTCTGTCTAGCAGAAGGAAAACCAAAACAGCAGCTGCATACAGTTGCAGAAGTAGCTCATGCAATTCTAAAAGATGCTAAAAAAAGGCTTTTTTTCTGTAGAAATGGAGAAGTACCATTAGAACTGTACAAGGCATAAGACTTCACATGAAATACTGAATGACTGGAACTGCATATATATGCTCAACAACAGGAACTTAGACTGAAGCAGGTGTAGAAAACAGAATAATGAGGAGCAGGTCACTTTCCCTGTTTAGATAAGAGGAGCTTGTCCTTTTTGCTAGGACAAACAATGGTTGAGAGCAGAGATCAGCCAAATTTATGAACAGGATGCAGGTCGAAAGCACTGGTGCTCTTACCAATATAATACTCTCCCAGGTACCCTGCCCAATCCATTTTACTCACGTGCTCATGACTAAACTCAGTTCTAGATCTGGAGCTGCAGGGGTGGGGAGAGCTTCATATCATATTCCAAGATAACACCTCTGTTCTCCCACCTCCCTTCTGCTGTGCCATCCTCCCCTTTCCTTCCCCCCCCACACAGTGTATAGCACAGGTTACTCTTCACGAAGTCATAAAATACAACACATGCTCCTATCAAATCTACTGGTTCCTTAAATAGCAATGCCATTAATCTGTCCTGCTTGCTTTCTGCCTTATCAGTTACAACTGGAGTCTTTTTCTACACAGCTTATAGCACCCTGCAAACATTTTATGGTGCAGCAGCATGCAGATAAAACATACTGCATGCTTTAAAACTCCGACTAATGGGACCTGTGGGGCTAGCCTCTTCTTTCCAACTCTGCATTCCTCTAGTTAAACTCAAACCAGCATCATCCCTACTTAACCACTTCTGTTCCCATACACCTGTTATCCATCAGGAAACCACAGAGTTACACTTGAAAAGAGGCAAAAGTCACAGTAACGTCCCATCCTTGTGCTCCCACTCTCCTTATCCTGTGCCATCTCCCTTTTCTACCTCTCTCCTGTTCTCTGCTCCATTCCCAAACTCTTTCATCTCCAGCAATAAAACCTGCTTTGAGCTACTGAGCGTAAAAGGTAAGACAACAATGGCAGCAGTCGGGATTAGAGGAGAAGCACAAAGCAGCAGGCCAGGCTTGGCCTCATTTGGACAAGAGCTGTTTTTTCAGATTCTCTTTTTTGCAAGCTTGCATTGAAAATATATGGGGGCAAAAAAAAAAAAAAAAAAAAAAAGTGAAGTGAGAGGCAGGGCATAGATGACTGTCTTCCAAGAAACAGAGAACGGAAGATTACAGGGTTCTGCTACTCATTTAAAAAGGGCAAAGAAAAAGAGAGGAACTGACTGACTACAGAAATGCAGAAGGGATCCAATTCTTTTTTTTTTTTTTTTTTTTTTTTGAAGACAATGAATATTACTGCCATCAGGAAGTAAGTGGTCAAGAAATAATGGGGAAGAGCATATTTAGACAAGTCAAATTCCTGGGGTGGATGCAAACTCAGACAGGTCCAGGACTACACCCTCAGTGCAAGCTTCAGTACTAAGCTGAACCTCCAAAGAGGAATTGAAGTAACTTGTTTCAACTGCAAGTATTTTGTCTAACACCCGGTTTTACACAAAGAGCTCCCCTTCTTGCCTCAGCCCCTTTCCTTTCTACGTTTTAAAATGTACATAGCTTTAGAAACAATATTTACAGCAATCATGAGGGAATCATGGACTGTTAGTTGTCAGCACAACCAGGAAACTTCCACCTAGTACTCAGGTCTTCAATGCAATTCTTTTACTGTTATTTCCTAAAGCCTCCGTTTTCTCTTTGTTACTAAAAGACATGCAGATCATTATACTT